AGTTCAGGCCCCACGACCGGACCCAAAAGACAACAACAACAAAAAAAAAACAAAGGGGCTGAGAAGGTGGCTCAGTGGTAGAGCGCTTGCCTAGCATGCATGAAGCCCCAGGTTCGATTCCTCAGGACCACATACAAAGAAAAAGCTGGAAGTGGTGCTGTGGCTCAAGTGGTAGTGAGCAAAAGCAGCTCAGGACAGCGCCCAGGCCCTGAGTTCAAGCCCCAGAACTGGGAAAAAAAAAAAGACAAGTGGAAAGAAAGATTTTGTGGAGTTCAATGAGCCCATCAATCAACTTGCCAAGACCCAAGCTTTCCGCCTCCTATGTCTTTAATCTTTCCACTGCTGCTCACCTCCACTGTCACCTCTCCTTTTCCCTGGATTAACAGTGCAGCAAGTAATGTGTCCTTCAGTCTTTCCTCAAGCACTTCCACGACTTAAATCAGAGCATCCAATCAGAAGGGCTTGCTCTAGCACCCACCTGCCTCATGATCTTCCTGTGGTTTGTGCCAAACTCCATCCTGCCTGAGGGCCTTTGCACATACCCTTCCTATTGCCAGGAACACAGCTCCTGCATCTCCTCCCTCCCCCCAAGAGCTCACCTGGCTGGCCAAGGCTTATCGATTACATCTCATTCTTCACCTCCACAGTGTCAGAAATGAAAGCCAGGATTTTGCACATGGCAGGCAAAGGCTCTACCTCTGACATAACCCTCCCTGCCTTGGATCCTTTTTTTTTTCTTTTTCTTTTTGGTCTGTCCAGTGGTTTTACGGGATATACTACACCTCCCCCTCGCCACTCCCCCCCCCCCACACCTGTTTTAGACAAGATCTTTTTCTCTAATTCAGGCTGAGAAGCCAATGCTGGCCTCAAACTCACGATCCTTCTGTGTGTTGCCCCAGGTGGTACGTCTTGACTTTGATGTGCTATCCTCAGACTTCCAGTGGCCCCCTTCCCCAGGAAAAGCTCTGTTCCCACAGAACTTTCCATAGCGGGGGGGGGGGGGGGGGGGGGGGGGGAGGGGGGGGGGGAATTGGAGAGGAGGGGGGGGGGGGGAGCGGGGGCGGGAATGCTCTGCCGATGCCCATGCCCAGTGCAGAGCACCTGACATAGGAACTAGATGAGGCAATGATTTCTAGTAACTCAGTGTAATCGAGGTAGGCAGTGGCCACCATGTTGGTCAATTCTGAGAAGGAAGGGACTGTCTGATGTCACAGAGAGGCAAGGCGAGGTCTGGGGCCTGAGGCCTGGCCAGACGTGGGGCTCATGGAGAGTGGAAAGGTGGGGTTTCCTCAGGGACAAAGGGAAGTGTCATTCTCATGCCTAACCAATGGGGCTGGGGGGGGGGAAGCGCCTAGTGCCCGGGCCCCAGGAGGGGACCGCATGGGGGGAGGACCGCCGCTAACCTCTGTCTCTATGTCATCTCTCCCAAGCCATGCAGCTGCAGCAGCTGCCGCCCAATGCTGTGCAGTGCTACAGCTGTGAGGGGAACAGCACCCATGGGTGCTCGGAGGAGGAGGCCACCCTCATCCCCTGCCTAGGCCCCATGGACCGATGCCTGGAAGCCACTGGTACTAAAGGTGAAGTGCAAATTGGAAGCCGAGAATTAGGACTTGGGCAGAATTAGGAATTAGCCCGGTGGCCAGTGACTCATGGGTGTGATCCCAGACTTCTCAGGAGGCTGAAATCTGAGGATCGGGGCTCAAAGCCAGCCTGGGCAGGAAAGGCTGTGAGATTCTTTATCTCCAATAAACCACCAGAAAGCCGGAAGTGGCGCTGTGGCTCGAGTGGTAGAGCACTAGCCTTGAGCTCAGAGGCTCAAAGACAGCATCCAGGCCCTGAGTTCAAGCCCCACAGGTGACAAAGAATTAGGACTTAGGCTGGAGGTGGTAACTAGGGCTGGAGTGCCTATCTGGCAAGTGGAAGGCCCTGAGTGCCAACCCCAAAGTCCATTAAAGACTGTCCATTAGGAAATGGGTATTTCCACCATGGGTCCACACAGGGCAACTTCTGAGGGCAAAGGACTTCCTGTGGATGGGTGGGACTTCCTGTGACCTTCAAGCGTCTACTTCCCAAGGCAGCTGGAGTCAGGGATTCTCTGGAGATTTGGGCTCCTTCACTCTCTCCACACCTGTGTGTGTCAGTTAGATCTACGGATATGTGGTGCCACAGAAGTTAAAAATGAGGAGTCAGTTAGTGAGCCGGTGGCTCACACCGGTCATTCTAGACCACTCAGGAGGCTGAGATCTTGGTTTGAAGTCAGTCTAGGGTAGGGAAGTCCTCCATTAGACTTTTTATCTCCAATGAACCAGCAAGAAGTTGGAAGTGGGGCTGGGAATGTGGCTCAGTGGTAGAGTGCTTGTCTAACATACATGAAGCCCTGGGTTCAGTTCCTCAATACCACATACACAGAAACAGCTGGAAGTGGCGCTGTGGCTCAAGTGGTAGAGCGCTAGCCTTGAGCTGAAGAGCTGAGGGACAGCACCCAGGCCCAGAGTTCAGACCCATGACCAACAACAACAAAAAAGGCATCCAGGGATATTGACTAATAAGACAATAAAATCTTTTTCTTTTGTGTAAAAAAAAAAAGAAAGTCTCATAAACATGAACATCCATAGCATTTTTTATGTAAAACAGCCATGTTTTAAGAAAAAAAAAACATGAAATGAGAAGACTAGCATCATTTTCCTGTGCTGTAAATCTCTTTGATGTCTGGTTTTAATAGAAATCAGCTGGACTTTTGACTCCATGATTGCATTTAAGCTGTAGCCACATCACCTATTCCAGAGCTTCTGGAAAACTCCCTTGTATACTCTTAAAAGCAAAAACTAAATTATGGGGCTGGGAAGGTAGCTCAGTGGTAGAGCGCATGCCTTGCATGCATGAGGCCCTGGGTTCAATTCCTCAGCACCACATAAGCAGAAAAAGCCAGAAGTGGCGCTGTGGCTCAAGTGGTAGAGCGCTAGCCTTAAGCTGAAGAGCTGAGGGACAGCGCCCAGGCTCAGAGTTCAGGCCCCACGACCAGCAAAACAACAACAAGCAGCAGCCACTAAATTATGTCTTAGATTACATTCAGAATAAATTTTATGTTGGCAATTAAAGGGTTTCTTAGACAGGCACCCTACCATGTGAGCCACACTCCCAGCCCTTTGAGCTGTAGTTATTTTTTTCAGATAGGTTCCCTCTCTTGTGCCCAGGGCCAGCCTTGGACCCTTGATCCTCCTATTCTGCCTTCTGTGTAGCTGGGTGATATGCATGACTATTCCTTGCATAATGAGAATAATGTAGAATTCCCAGATTCCCATCCCAGGTGCCTGGGCCACACTGGCTGCTTTCTCCAGGTGACAGTGCAGGTGGCACCCAGGGGCAAGGTGCCAGGCTGCTCACTGGAGAATCCCGGGTCTAAGAGAGAACCAGGAAATCTCACGCTGTCTCCTTTGTCCTCAGAGATGGAGAATACCAACTACACAGTGCGAGGCTGCGCAACGGCCTCATGGTGCGAAGGCTCCCACATGGCCGACACCTTCAGCCTGACTGGAGTCAGTGTGTCCTGCTGTACTGGCAGTGGCTGCAACCACCCCGCTGGAGATGCCCAGTACCGCAGCGGTGGGGGCCCCCAGCCCCGCCCCACCTACCTCAGCCTCACCATGACCCTTCTCACAACTGCCAGACTAGGAGGGGATCTTCTCCTCTGGACCTGAACTCTTAAAGCCTTTGCCCTGGCTGGATCCAGGGACCCCTGTGCCCTTTCCTCAGTTCCAGCTCTGCAGACTTGTATGCCAGTACATTGTCCTCTCTGTTTCCTCCACTGTCAGAAAAAAAAAAAAAAACTCGTATCTGATCAGTTACTGTGGCCCGTGCCTGTCATCTTAGCTACTCAGGAGGCTGAGATCTGCACATCACAGTTGGAAGCCAGCTCCCGGGTAGGGAAGTTTGGGAGAGTCTTATCTCCCAACTAACCACCAAAAAGCCAGAAGTGGTGGAGTGAAAGCCTTGAGTGAAAAAATTAAAGGACAGGGTTGGGAAGGTGGCTCAGTGGTAGAGCGCTTGCCTTGCATACATGAGGCCCTGGGTTCGATTCCTCAGCACCACATCAACAGAAAAAGCCGGAAGTGGCACTGTGGCTCAAGCGGTAGAGCGCTTGCCTTGAGCTGAAGAGCTGAGAGACAGTGCCCAGGCCCAGAGTTCAGGTCCACGACTGGCAAAAGAAAGAAAAAGTTAAAGGACAGTATCCAGTCCCTGAGTTCAAGCCCCAGGACCAGAAGAACAACAACAAAGAAATGCCAACATCCCACCACAACATTGTTTCACCGAGATATCTGCAGAGGAGCTGGGGGCCATCAGTGTGTTGTTTGGCTTTATTAATATTTTTTGCCAAAATTGTTACTGTTGTTAGCTAATATGCATATTATTTATTTATATTATCAATAAATTTTTATATGAATGAACAAGCTAAGTTTCCTGGTCTCTGTAGCATCTATCTTTGGGAATATGAACGTGGGGGTAAGGGGCATTGGCTCTTCAGGTTTCTGGAACTGTAGGTCAGACTAGGATGCAGGCATCTGAGGCCCCTGTCTTCGGTGTGGTCACTAAAGAGTTAAGTTAACCCTATTTTTTTTTTCCTAGTCCTGGGCTTGAACACTGGGCCTGAGTTCTGTCCCTGTGCTCCTTTTGCTCAAGGCTAGGGCTCTACCACTTGAGTCCCAGCACCACTTCTGGTTTTCTGGTGGTTAACTGGAGATAAGAATCTCACAGACTTTCCTGCCTGGGCTGGCTTCATACTGCGTTGATCAGATCTCAGTCTTCTAGGTAGATAAGATGACAGGTGTGAGTCACCAGCACACGGCAACGCTATGCTTCGAAGCTTCCCCAACATCTACTTTTGTCCACCAGCAACAATTTGTGTGTGTGTGCATGCTGGGGCTGCACTCAGAGCCTGGGCACTCTGCCTTAGCTTTTTTGTTCAAGGCTATGCTCTACCACTTGAACCACAGCTCTACTTCTGGTTTTGGCTTGTTAATCAGACTTTTCTGATCCCAAATGTGTGATTCTTCTACCTCTGCTTCCTGAGTGCTGGGATTATAGCTGTACACCACCACACTTGGTGATCAAATGCAGTGTTCTCATTCAGCCACACAAGCACTAACCTAGTCTTCTCTTCTTCCACATCCAAGGTCAAAATGACTTCATTGTTCTAAGGAGCCAGGTCTGCATTTCCCAGGGTGCTCTGGGGCAGGCCATGGCCAGAGAGAACTTATTAGTTCCAACTCTTTAGATGTACTCAGTGAGAAATCAGTACCAGGCTGCATTTCTCTGGGGGCTTAGGGAAGGGCAGAGAAGCTGGATTCCATTTGCCAAGATGCCTTAGGACTGGTGGAGAAAAGCTGGACTACCATTTCTTTTATTCTGTCTCTCTTTAGGGTGAAGCTTAGAGTTAGGATGTTAGAAGTTAAGATGGGATGTTGAGGTTTATCTTTGGGGGGGGCAAAAACAACTATTCCAATGGCACAATTATCACAGAAGTTGTTTTTCCCTGTGGTTCATTAAAGCAACCCATGCAGATAAATTATATTTCTAAATTTACTTCCCAGGAAGAAGAAGAAGAAAAAAGATAGGATATCACCAGTGATGTCTAGGGACAGATGAAGGAAAAAGGTTTGGTTTTAGGACTTCCTCCAAACAAGTGTCCTGGTGGTAGTTTCAGGAAGAGAAATCTTGGCTGGGTGTGGTGGTTCATGCCTGTAATCCTAGCACTTTGGAGGCCCATGTAGGATTGAGAGTAGAGGCCAGCCTGGTCTACATAGTGAGACCCTTCAATTAAACAAATGGAATCATAACCTATAAATTCATAAAATAGAAAGCCTGTGGTTTTACACCACCATGCTCGGGTGCTTTTTTTTAATGCATTAGTAGTTAACTGAAGCATCTTAGATCTTTGTGTTCATTTTTGTCAAAATCATGCCATAATTGTCACGGTGGATGAAGCGTTTTATTTACTTGCTTGTTGCTGTGTTCTTAGTTTTTGGAATACACTGGAGCTTCCGGAGGGAAGGAGGGAAGGAAGGAAGGAAGGGAGGGAGGGAGGGAGAGAGGGAGGGAGGGAGGGAGGGAAGAAAAGAAAGGGAAAGCTATATTTTTGATGCTGTCCTCCAAGTAAACCAGGCCGACTTGGATTTCCCATAATGCCCTGCGGCAGATCAAAGCTAAAATGACATTTTCTAAGCTGGTCCATGTTTTAAATTGAGGATAATTTCACCTTTTCCACGATGCCCTCCAGCAGATACTGAGGCTAGGGACAAGTTTCTCTTAATGTCATCGGCGATCATCTGCGATCAAGACCTTATCTTTAGTAGCTTCTGAATTTTTGTTCAAAGATCTTTGGTTCCAAGAAAGAAAAGCTGTTTGTGCTGACTTAAGCAAAAACACTGTTATTGGAAGTTTAGAATCCAAGCACAGCCCAGGGCTCTTGGACTCATCAGGGACAAGAGATTGAATTGAAAGACTATGTGGAGAAACTCGGGGTATAGCACAGAGGTAGAACACTAGCCTAGCACACACAGGCCCTGGGTGTGATCCCCAGGACTATACAAGAAGAAAAAAATATAAAAAGAAAGGCTATGTAAAATCAAATGTCTCCCTCTTTCAGAGTCAGCCCCCCCCTCACACACACACATACACACACACACGTCCTTCACAAATAGTGCTAATGTACCCACTGAGATGTCAAACACCAAGTACCACTTGACTCTTAGTTCTGGAATCTTATCTACAAGGCTGACTGGGTTCAGTCAGGGCCAAGGGCAAGACTCTGCTACAATTCCCTCTGCTAGGACCAGGGAAGTTCATCTCCAAGTCACCAACTGGAGTTGCTCAAACACAGCTTCTCTGTTTCCTGCTGCTCCTCAGGCAGAGTTGGACAAACAGATCCTGTACAAGCAATCACCAGCTCCTGGCGGATTTTGTTGGAAGATATCCTCAAAGATGTACTTTTTCAGCCAGTTGCTGGTGACTCAGATCTGTCAGCTCCTTAGGAGGCTGAGATCTGGGGGATTCCTAGTTCAAAGCTAGCCTAGGCAGGAAAGGAAAAGTCCCTGAGACTCTTCCCTCCAACTTGCCACCCAAAAGCAGGAAGTAGAGCTCTCAATTGATAGAGTTCTTAGCCTTGAGCAAAAAAAGCTAAAAGGGAGCAAGAGACCTTGAGTGTAAACTCCCAAACCGGTACACACACACACACACACACACACACACACACACACACGTGTTCCTCAGGGCTGAGGTAATAGACACTCATTAGCCCCTTGATCAGAAAGAGCCTATTGTATCTTTAGGAAAAGTAACTACTGGTACTCTCTTGTAGTTTAAATATGTCCTAGGAAGGCTTTCTATGTTGAAATATAATCTTCCCTATTAGGAGGAATTAAGAGGGTAGTAACTTAATCCATGTCATTGAGAGGTGGGGCCTGTGGTATGAGTAGGATTAGATAAATCATCGGGGTGGAGTGCCCATGATTAAATTCTGGGAGCTTTGTAAGCATGGGGGGGGGAGGGAGAGACCAATAGAGACACGTGTGCTCCCTGTGTCTTGCCATGTGATGCCCCATGCCACCTGGGGACTCTGCCAGCCAAGAAGGACGTCAGCAGCTGCGGCTCCTCATCCTTTGCCAAAATAAACCTTTTCTTTGCCACTCACCAAGTCTAAGGCATTGTTCCTGGGGATAGTAAGAGAAAGCAGGCTATAAAACCCACTCCACAACCCCCAGCCAGAGATCCGAATGCAAGTCAAACGCTTCTCTTTCCACTTAGGTCAGGCCACAGAACGTGAACCACGGGAAACAGGGAAATTAGCAGCCAGAGAAGAAATCTCAATGAAAGCTGTTGATCAATAAGAGGTTGTGAAGTGGCACGGAGAAAGAGAAAGCAATGGAGAATTATTCTGATTCAAATAGAATAAATGCAATGCCAGGTATCCCACGGCGAAACCCCTTGGTCCAGTTAATACACATTAAAAATAATGAATGACAGGAAAGTAAAATGACTCTTGTTGGGGGTTGGGGGGAGGGTGGGCAACAGCAGTCTGGGGGAGGGCTAAGGAAGAGAATGAATGAGGGTGAATGCGGGGTCGAAGGAGTTGATTTGCATTAAGAGACCTGTTGACATTGTTTTCAGAAGGGAGAGTGTAGGAAAGGCTGATGTGGGTACACTGTGCGCATGTACAGCAATGTCACAGTGAAATTTCCCTTGTATAATGAATGTATGCTGATTCATTAAAAAAAAAAAGAAGAAGAAACAGGAATTATAGACCTGGCAGCCTTGTTTTCTCCAGTGTACAGGAGCTCACAAACAGCCATGTTTTTGGGGATACAGGAAATGGAGGACAGAAGAGGATGCTAGGAGCTATGGTCCTGGGGTCCTGGGATTGATGGGACATGAAGTCCCTTGGTGGGCCTCCATATGGATGTGTGTGTGTTTTTTTTTTAATTTTAGGTGTGATGGAGATAAACAGAAAACAGTGGCAGAATGGACATAGCGGGGCCTCAGTTTACCTGGCTGTCAATGGGCACAAGAGAGGTTGAAGTCTCCTATTTCCCGCGGCTTTCTCACTCTTCCTGCACCTTGCAGGTGATAATTCTGCACCAGGTAGGTCTCCAGTTTCCTAGAAATGGGCTGGGGGGGGGGTCCCCCAACTCCTAGGAGGGAGAAGGGACTGGGATCTCGAATGGGCCTCAGTGACCGGGAGAGGGCAGACTGCGCAGGCAGGAGGGGACCAGGAGAAGGCGCTGGGAGGTTAGGCCTGGCAGGTATCCATAGAAGCCTCCCTCCTTCCCTCTCTCCCTCCTTCCCTCCCTCCCCTCTTCTCTCCCCCTGGGCTCAGGATCCAGGCTTGCTTCCAAGGAGTTGGCTTTCCAAGGAGAATGAGGC